TCTGATCAGGTTGTCCTGCAGCATAGCCTCCGCTCTTATCAGGAATGTCCTGCATCATACCTCCACTCTGATCAGGAATGTCCTGCATCATACCTCCACTCTGATCAGGTATGTCCTGCAGCATACCTCCACTCTGATCAGAAATGTCTGCAGCACACCTCCACTTTGATCAGGCATGTCCTGCAACATAGCCTCCCCTCTGATCAGGTTGTCCTGCAGCATAGCCTCTGCTCTTATCAGGAATGTCCTGCATCATACCTCCACTCTGATCAGGAATGTCCTGCAGCATACCGCCACTCTGATCAGGAATGTCCTGCAGCATGTCTCCACTCTATCAGGAATGTCCTGCAGCATACCTCCACTCTGATCAGGATTGTTCTGCAGCATAGTCTGCACTCTGATCAGGCATGTCCTGCAGCATAGCCTCCACTCTGATCAGGCATGTCCTGCAGCATAGCCTCCACTCTGATCAGGCATGTCCTGTAACATAGCCTCCACTCTGATCAGGCATGTCCTGTAACATAGCCTCCACTCTGATCAGGCATGTCCTGTAACATAGCCTCCACTCTGTTCAGGCATGTCCTGTAACATAGCCTCCTCAGTGATCAGGCATGTCCTGTAACATAGCCTCCTCAGTGATCAGGCATGTCCTGTAACATAACTCCACTCTGATCAGGCATATCCTGCAGCATAGCCTCCGCTCCGATCAGGAATGTCCTGCAGCATACCTCCATTCTGATCAGGAATGTCCTGCAGCATACCTCCACTCTGATCAGGAATGTCCTGCAGCATACCTCCACTCTGATCAGGAATGTCCTGCAGCATAGCCTCCACTCTGATTAGGAATGTCCTGCAGCATAGCCTCCACTCTGATCAGGCATGTCCTGCAGCATAGCCTCCACTCTGATCAGGCATGTCCTGCAGCATAGCCTCCACTCTGATCAGGCATGTCCTGCAGCATAGCTTCCACTCTGATCAGGCATGTCCTGTAACACACCTCCACTCTGATCAGGCATGTCCTGCAGCATAGACTATTTGATTGGCTATTTAGCAGTCTTGTTTAACAATCTTATGGCTTGTGGGTAGAAGCTGTTCAGGGTCCTGTTGGTTCCAGACTTGGTGCTCCGGTACCGCTTGCCGTGCGGTAGCAGAGAGAACAGTCTATTGTTTGGGTTGCTGTAGTCTTGTTAAAAGTGTTGGGCCTTCTTCTGACACCGCCTGGTATAGAGGTCCTGGATGGCAGGGAGCTCGTCCCCAGTGATGTACTGGGCCGTACGCATTACCCTCTGTAGTGCCTTGCGTTTGGAGGCCAAGCAGTTGCCATATCAAGCGGTGATGCAGCCAGTCAAGATGCTCTCAGTGGTGCAGCTGTATAACTTTTTGAAGATCTGAGGGCCCATGCCATATCTTTTCAGCCTCCTGAGGGGGAAGAGGCGTTGTCATGCCCTCTTCACAAGTGTGTGGGTGTGTGGGACCATGAAAATTCATTTTGCTCCACTACTTCATTTTGCTCCACTACAGCCCCGTCGATGTGGTTCATGCTCGGCCCTCTGTTTCCTGTAGTCCTGTAGATCAGCTCCTTTATCTTGCTGACGTTGACCGAAAGGTTGTTGTTCTGGCACCACACTGCCAGGTCTCTGACCTCCTCCCTATAACTGTCTCATTGTTGTCGGTGATCTGTCTACCACCGCCGTGTCGTCAGCAAACTTGATAATGGTGTTGGAGTTGTGTGCGGCCACGTAGTCATGGGTGAACAGGGAGTACAGGAGGGGACTAAGCATGCACCCCTGAGGGGTCCCCTTGTTGAGGGTCAGCAGATGTGTTGTTGCCTACCCTCACCACCTAGGGTCGGCCCATCAGGAAGTCCAGGATCCAGTTGCAGAGGGAGGTGTTTAGTCCCAGGGTGCTTAGCTTGGTGATGAGCTTGTAGGAGACTATGGTGTTGAACGCTGAGCTGTATTTAATGAACAGCATTTATACATAGGTATTCCTCTTGTCCAGGTAAAAATAAAACATATGGTAAGTGGTGTTGTTCAATTTACATCCGAGCCCATTCAGAACATAGGCTGTGGATATAGATGTACTCCTACTGCGACTGTACAGCCTTTTATATATATATATATATATATATATATATATATATATATATATATGTATATATAGATGTACTCCTACTGCGACTGTGCAGCATTTTAGATATATATATATAGATGTACTTCTACTGCGACTGTACATCCTTTTAGATATATATATATATATATATATATATATAGATGTACTCCTACTGCGACTGTACAGCCTTTTAGATATATATATATATATATATACAGTGGGGGAAAAAAGTATTTAGTCAGCCACCAATTGTGCAAGTTCTCCCACTTAAAAAGATGAGAGAGGCCTATAATTTTCATCATAGGTACACGTCAACTATGACAGACAAATTGAGAAAAGAAAATCCAGAAAATCACATTGTAGGATTTTTTATGAATTTATTTGCAAATTATGGTGGAAAATAAATATTTGGTCACCTACAAACAAGCAAGATTTCTGTCTCTCACAGACCTGTAACTTCTTCTTTAAGAGGCTCCTCTGTCCTCCACTCGTTACCTGTATTAATGGCACCTGTTTGAACTTGTTATCAGTATAAAAGACACCTGTCCACAACCTCAAACAGTTACACTCCAAACTCCACTATGGCCAAGACCAAAGAGCTGACAAAGGACACCAGAAACAAAATTGTAGACCTGCACCAGGCTGGGAAGACTGAATCTGCAATAGGTAAGCAGCTTGGTTTAAAGAAGTCAACTGTGGGAGCAATTATTAATGATATTAGCCCGAAATTGGCAATGATAAAGAACTGAGCAAAATCCCAGAAAAGGGGGCCTATAGAAAGCTAG